AAGCCGGGCTGGGCCGGGGGGCGCTTTCGCGGCGCGCGCAGGGGCTCCCGACCCGACCCCCTCGGACCTCGCGTCCCCGCCGCCTTCGCGCGGGTCCGGCGCCGCGCCCGGAGGGGTCGGCGCGGGGCAACTTTTCCCCGGGCCGGGCGGGGAGGGGCGCGGGCTCGGGCCCACCGGCCGGGGCGCGAGAGGGGGCGGCGGGTAGGGGCGCGGGTTCGCCCGGGACGAGGGGTCTCCCCCGCCGGCCCCACGCGCTCCGGGCCACCCTGGCGCCCAGCTGCAGCCGGGCCGCGTAGGAACCGGGCTGGAGCGGGAGGAGCAACTTCTGCGCTGCTCGAAGGCTCCGGCCTCCCTGGCCCCGGGACGGACGGCGCGCTGGGCCCGAGTGGCCTGTGTGCCGCCGCCTCCAGCAGGCCGCTGGTCCCTGGCGTGTGTCTTCCAGGCAGCAGGCTGGACCCCTCTTCCCCACAAGCGGCCGAGCCCGGTGGGTAGGTCGCCAGGGGCCGCATGAGCGGGACCCTGGAACCTCGGAAGGTACCATCCCAGAATTGGCCCCTCACTTTGGCAGCTTTGCTGTTCTCGGGGCTGGCCCTATATCTGGGGGGAGGACAGCCCAAAGGCACGAGTGTCAGTTTTCCTCTCCTCCCGTTGCCATCCCGCCCAGCGGTGTCCTAGCCCCGTGCCCGCCAACTCCAGGCCCGACTCCCTGGGAGGAGGAGTGGGCACGGCCGGGGCACCCACTCATTGCCCTCCCTGGGGTGTGGAAGCTGGTGAGAGGCAGGGAGGGGGAGACTTTATAAATGGGCTCCGGGAAGGATATGAATTTGGTGGCGGGACAGCAGCCAGGCTGTCAGGCCGAGAAGGATTTGTGCCGAATGGAAGTTAAAACAGCTGATTGTGAATGAAGCCTCCGGCCACAGCCCCTCCTGCCTGCCCACGCCCCTGCAGCCTGGGGTGCAGTCCAGCCACGCTGGGAGGTGCTCGAGCCCAGCGTGGGTGCAGGGCTTTGGGTGAGAGCAGGACGTCCACACAGAGTTAGTCCCTCCCGCCGGGGACGTGAGGGTGAGTGGGGTGTGTGCGTGGGTTCCAAGTTTGTCCAACCTAAGAAAACTCCGTCCCTGACTCTGTTGTGCTGGAGGCCTTGGCGGGCTGGAGTGGAGTGCTCTCCTTGGATGAGGGTGGGCACGTGTCCCCATTTTGCAGATGAGAAAACTGGTTGGGAGAGGCTGAGCTACCGGGCTGCCAAGTGGTGGATTTGGAATTTGGACCTTCAGCTGTGGGTGCTGTGTGACCGGAGCAGAGAAGAAAGCTGGGTTGTCCGTGACTTGCTACGGCAAGGCCTACGTGGGGCTGGCTGGGGCTCCTGTGTGGGAGGGCGGCGTCTCCTTTCCCCGCTAGAGCTTCACCACACAAGCGTGCGCACACAGAGCTGGGCTCTCCCCGAGATCCCTTCTGGAACGAGAATGCCCAGCACCGCCTCTGGCCCCTGGATGAGGCAGGGGCCTGGCGGCTGCACTCGGGCTGGGTACTGGGAATGCAACAAGTCTCTGTTCCTAATGGCCCTGGAGGGACGGGGCTAGCCTTAGGAGTTAGTACATGTAGGGCTGGGGAACAAGGGCGCCCAGGCCACAGGGTGGCTGTCTTGGAGTCCCCACGCAGAGGAGAGATTGTGCCTTTAGCCACTGCCTCGGGGACCTCGATGGGCGCTCCCCCACCGCAAGGAAGCTGGGAATCTTCTGTTCTCAGAACAGCAGCTCTCCGGAGGGACTGATGGCCTCCCAGGCAGCCCACGCCCCAGGGCTGAGCGGAGAGTCCTGGGCTCTGATTACATTTTAGTTTTTTCTAAGCTTGTGACCTGCTCTGAAGTCCAGTGCAGTTGAAGGTCCATTTAAGCGGCTACTTGCCTAAGCCCTTTTGTCAACACAGCCTAATCCCTCCTGGGGGGTGAGTGTCCGAGAGCCTGGCGGCTGGCTGCCTGGGTCAGACCTGGAGCTGCTGGGAAGGCAGCCGCCCCTTTGAGCTGCCCGGCCGCTTTGGGGTCTGAGGCAGAGAGGGCTTCCTCCTCCCAGCATTCGCTGCTGCTGGGCTTGGTGGGCCTGGGTAGGGGGGAGCTCCCAGTCACTCTGCCCCATCTGCCCCAAGCCACTCAGTGAGGGCAGGGTGCTGAGGGGTGGCTGTGCCCCCTGCCCATCTGGCCTCCTCCTGAATGGGGGGACTCTGAGGCTGAGCCTGCAAAGTCCAAGGGTCTCAGACCATACCAGACCCTCTTTGCTGCTGGTGGCCCATTTGCCCAAGGGGACCAGGTGGCCAACAGCAAAGCTGTAGGCGCACTGACCGCCCTCGGGGGGTACTCAGGGACCTGGGTGAGCCTGGAGCCCGGGCAAGGGGCTTCTGGTAACATCAGAGCCCTGGGGACCGAAAATAGAGCACATTCCGGGGCCTCCCGAAATAACAGGGTCACGTGACTCCAAGGAGGCTGGGCTTGGAGTCCGGCTCAGGCCTGACAAGGCAGTTCACGTCTTGGCCCGGGCACTGCCGACTGTTGGGGCGTTTGTTTTGGTAAACTCTGGAGGGGGCTCTGTTTGTTGACTGGGGAAGTGTCAGGGTGAGAAAAATGGCCCAGTCTGATGGTGGCCGTGGCCTTGCTGGCCAGCATCCTTGCTTGGGGCTGGCTGCGGTGCCTGGGCCGGAGCATGGAGCTCCGACTCCTCTGCCCAGTTGTGGGCGGGGCGAGCTGAGCCCCCAGGAGGGGTGGGTGCTCTGAGCGGCCCCGGGCATGTGGGGTGCCAAGTTGAGCCAGTAGCCTTGATCACAGAGGGCTGGCTGCCGTGGGCTGACTCCCAGCTCCAGCAGTGCCTAGTGGCTCTTCCAGCTGTGCCTGTCCTTCAGGGCCTGCGGGGTCTCGCTGCCTCCGGGAGCCCCTCTGACTGCTCTACCTTGGCCTCTGCCCCGTCCTCTCTTTGGCTCTGGGGGAGGTTGCCGTTGGTGGTTTGTGTGTTCTCTCCTGGCAAAGGGTATCTGGAGGGTTTGCTGGGCAATTACCGCGCAGGCAAAGATGGGGTGCACCCAGGGACGTCTGTCCCTGGGAGCTGGCTGTGCATGCTGGGGGGCTCTGGCATCAGGAGAGGGTGGCACAGACATCAGCTGCGTGGAAGGTGGTGTGGGGGTGGGGTGGAAGTCTTAAATGTCCACCTAGAGCCAGCTGAGGCTGCCTGGGGAGTTTCATTTCTTGGGTGGTGTCCAGTCTTGCCATGGCTCGAATGTTTCAGGGCTGGGGCCTTGAGTGGAGGGCAAGGCTTGGTTCCCTGGAGAAGACGGCTCCTGGGCCTGGCGCTGCTGTCCCAGCAGACAGGGCAGAGGCCTCCCAGCTGGCTCAGGGCTGGGGCTTCGCAAGCCGAGACCTGCCCTCCTACCTTCTCCACTGGGCTCGAAGTTTGCCTTCGGTTGGCTTTGCTGACCAGGACCTTGAGGTAGCCCACTCACTGGTCCATTTCCATGGGAACTGGCCGCTGGCTGGGCCAGGGTTGGGGTTGGTGTCCATCTGGGGTCACCAGGTGGGTTTCATGGATGCTGTAGCTGGGTGGGGGCAGACAGCCTGTCCTTCCCCTCCTTCCCCTCCCCCCCGCCTACCTGCCTGCGGCGTTTGCCTTTTACAAGGGGCAGTTCCATCCTCACTGCTCCCCCACCCCAGCTGACCCAGCTGTCCCTGGGTAGGGGCGGTGGTGGAGGGATCCCAGGATCGGCACCTTCCAGAAGAGGCTCTGGCTGGCTCTGTACTGTTGCTTGGCCGATGGTCAGGCTGGGATCAAGTCCTCTGGCCTTGCTGCCTGTGTGGCCTGCTCTCTGGCCTCTCCGGGCCTTGGTTGCCCATCTGTAAAATGGACACACTTGTTGGCTCTTCTGGGTGCTGGGAAAGGCAGCTTGGTTTGTTGCAGGCTGGCAGGGAGTTGGAGGAGCTCCATTTATGGGGTGTGTCCCCCCCTTTCCGAAGGCGAGGCCTGTGGCCAGGTCCTGTGCCTCCTGCTTGGATCAGGGTGGGGACAGGTCTCCAGTGTTGGACCAAAACCAGGCCACGATTGCAG